AGCTATATGGCCTGCCCATTGCTACTTTAGCTTACTAATCCATTGGGCCATGTCGGTCACTATGGTTCTACTGCGTATATTCTCATTTCTGAGTTCATCACGCAGAGAAACTCCGAGCATAGCCCTCTCCATAGCTCTCTGAGCAACCTTGAGCGTCCTCAACGGCCGGCAGTGAAGGACCACGTCTCACATCCATAGGTCATCACTTGCAACATGCACTGGTTGTACATTGTTTTGAGTTTTTGAATGTTTGGTTTTGTTTAAAATTACGTTATAATTATACTGGCTCTCTATATCCTTCTGACCGAAATACAGCATTGCAGGCACTTGTATGTGGCGGCAGTAACAGGTAAGAGGTACCCTCTTACGTATCCCATCTAGTATGTAATATTATTCTAATTCTATATTTCTTTGTTACTCTAAAGATGTACCAAAAATCAGTATGTGAATATATAAGATTTTCCCAGCTATTAGCAGCTTCTATAATGCTAATTTTTGTTGTGTAATTAATTGACCAAATAATTTTATTATCATTATCATCATTACAATCATTGCAACCCATTACAAGTCTACCACTACTGAACATAGACCTCCTCTAAGAAATGGCACAATATCAACTGCATCCATGGGCTTCCTGCATATCTTAACAGGGCCTCAACTTCGCTTAGCGATATAAGGCTGCCACTAGAGAACCTTTCTTTCGCATTGGTTGTTGGTTCTTCGAGATATATTCATACTTCAGCTTACAGACCCGTTGTCCTGTTTTGTTTACTTTGGTTCCACTGGAGTACCATTACAAAGTCTATCACACAGAGAAACAGCGTAGTACTCTTCATAGCTTTATGAATTTTTTTGTTTATTGTAAAATATTTTGTGTGTAATATATAAACACTGTATATATGTGAATTCAAAGCTTATAATAATGGAATTATATTATTATTATTGCTATAAATTGTAATCATCATGAGCAAAGATTGTTTTTTTTTTCATGTTTCCACAGAAACAAAATTTAAGGTGTTAATTTTAATTCCTATATTTGTATATTACTTAAGTGGTGATTCTGTTTGGTTTTTTACTTTTGCAACAAACATACTTAATGGGTGATGAATAAAGTCTGTTGAAATATTTAAGGTTTTTTTTTATTTACAATCACCTACCATCTATTTCCTCCTCTACCTTATCAGTTCATAAACAGTTACAATGCTGCATATGAGTTTCTCCCATAATCGCCGCCTCGTTTAGCAGGTGGATTTGCGATAGTAGTATTATTTGTCTTTCCACTTTTGAAGTTGCTACCAGTATCACTGGTTTGGGTATTGTATACAGATTGTACTGATATTTATATAAACAATATACATGCATTTGATAAAACAACCAAGAATTAATAAGAGAACACAGACATAAAATAATCTATAATCTGATTATATGTTATGATCTATCTGGTTGTTCGAGTGATGCGATGCTGAAAAGGACATTGGCTGTGTTTAGCTGAAAAAAGCGCTAGGAAGCGCTTACTAGCCTTGAAAAACAAACTATACACTTTACGGCCAGAACACGTTTGCTTACATCAGTAGCGCTGACACAATCTGCCATTTTGTTTATTTATTTTGGTTGTTTTGAAGTAGTTTATAAGTTGTTATATACAATTAGTTTCAAGTAATATTAAAATAAATAATGATGTCAGTCCAAATATATTATTCATGCTTTTACCAATCATTTTAATATGAATACTTTACAAACATATATTTAAATTAGATTAGGTTCCTTGGTTAAAGCTAACTTAGCATCCATGAAGAAAATAACTATTTACCATTTGACAGCGCTTACCACTTAGCAATCGCTATTTTGCTTACAAGCGCTTTTTTCTGCTAAACAAAGCCATTGACTCAACATATTACTGTTGCACGGTATCATACAAAAACTTATTCAACATTAACCTAAGGGGAGGTACAAAAACAGGAGGTCAGGATGAGTGAAAGTATTACTCTTACATGGCCACCACACGGGAAACATCCATATGTACCAAAATCGTTAGTATTTCATGAGGACTGTCTGAGTGATTGTGTTATTTTGGAATAATACTTGAAAACTGTGTTCACATGTTGAAAACGGAGTCCAGAACTTTTAGGGAGTTCCAATCTTACCTGTAAACGATAGGCTTTGCTCAGTGGCATTCTCAGTACGAAGTGTCGGTACTGCATCCATTAACATAAATGTAAGTGGCCTTGGATTTAAAGAGGATCAACCTGCATATTATTTTTACTGCTATGTATAATTTAATGTATGTTGCGTGAACTTGTTGTCAGATTCATTAAGACCGACATTAACACTATGCCTATGAACTTTTTCTGATGATTAAAAAACTAGCAATATGTTAACAACCCATTGCCTTTGTATCCCTAATGTGATTTTTAGTGTTGAACTTAGTGTATCTGGCATAGCATCATCTTTATAAAATTGGTTTCCAATATCAGTGCATTGCATTCTTATTATTTACAAGTACCTTGTGGCACTATAATATCCCTTTCGCAGTTGATAGCTTCAAACTATTAGCAGTTGATGCAGTGTCAAACACCATCAATAGCATATTTCAGTTTTTACAATAAGTATTTGGTTGAAACACCAATCATGAAATAGAGATGAACAAAACTGTAGGGCACTTTAAATTTGTACAGGTTTGTCGTGATTGAGCGACAAATATTAAAATTTATAAAAAATGTTTAAAATAATTGTAATATTCTATCTTTTTCGTCAGCTCATAAAAGTCTACTGATGGATGTGGGTCTTTCCCATTGTAGAAACAATTTACTTTGTCATGCTTGACAGAAAGAATAACAATCACAGTATGTGACATTGATATTAGGAATATAATTATTTAATATGGCTCAAAAGATTGATAATAATACATCATTATTTATGTAACATAAATTTAATCATTATTAATTCAAAGCAACTACGTAAATTATGTTCACTGCAAACTATCTGTAGCACACTTTCGGCCCGTTAAACAATGCTCTGGTTATATAGTTACACCATATTCATTTAGAACAAGTTCACTCCATCTAGCAAATTTCAACAAAAAATATTAATTGAATAACAGGCCCTTATTTTGATGTTTAAGAGCGTAGCTTGATGTATGCCCTCTTAAACCACTCAGTAGGAGATGAGTGAGCATAGTATTCGTGGAAGATTGGTTCTACAAGTGTATCTGGAGGCACCAGCTTGTATATACGCTCACCATAGTAAGTTCCAACCTGAAATAAAAAAATAGTATTTGTTATAGTGATTCAAAATAAATATTTCTCCATCATTTATTATAAATCCTGCATTAAGAAAGTGGAAATTAAAATACAGGTATAAAGAGTTTTTTTTCCTAATAAATCTCAAAACAGCACTTGCAAGCAGTGCATCCAGTTCAAGGACAAGCTTGTGAATTTACTGATAACAAAAAATTCATCCAAAAATACTGAATCTGAACTTCATAAAGTAGTGGTGGGAAACAGCATTACCAATGAAACATTGCTGACTGCACACAACATGATTGATCTGTATGATATAAAAAAAGGCTGGTGCATTCTTGGAGATGCCTACGTCCAGTGTGTATAAAGCTAATAATGTATTAAGATGTAAGATAGTTTAGGTTGAAAATTTTATTCTCAATTTTGGTAAAATCATGAAGGCATTTCTTTTTCAATTTCATAGTATACTAGCCACCTGCAGGAAAGTTAAAAATTACTTCATTTAAAAAAATCTCAGCTGAAGTGTTAGTCCAACAACCAAGACAACATAATGAGTTAATTAATTGCATAGCTAAGTTTCAGGTCCATCCCACAGAAATCATGTAATTTTAAGGGATGAAACTTTTAGCTCATAAACTATCTATATATTAATTAATAGCCACATTTCTACGTGAAAGAAAGAGAAACCAACACACTTTCGCCTTAACAATATTAGTAGGGATAATTTAAAAATGAAGCTGTATACCTCCCAGCCAGGCACATCACGCATCAGTTCGGCTTCCGCGTCGCGGTTTCTTCTAAGTTGTTTCAGATATTCCCTGTCTCTTTCAGCCAGCAACATAGGGTAAATGGCCATTTTTGCAGATCGCATTTCAATTTCATGTTTTTTCACCTTTTTACAAGTTAAATTATACAAGTAAATAGCCCCAATAGTCATACCAATGTAACCAGCGAAGAGAGTGTAACCTTAAAAATTTCATATTCTTATAAAAAGCTTTACTCTAGAAGATAAAAGTAATTTACGTATTATGTAGGGAGCTATGTAAATGTTAGTTTAATTACATATTGTCATAAAATTTTGATAACATAACCTAAAAAACCTATTACATAATATGATGGAAAATATACAATAAATAAAACTTTCATAATACTCACCACTAAAGTATGCTTTAGCGGGCACTCGTTTAAAAGGAATTGGTTTGTAGCCTCCCGGAGGAGGCAAATCTTGTTTTCTAGCTATCTGACAAGCTTCGGCCATTTTCACTATTTGACAATGACAAATTGACAAATAACATCTGTTTGACGGCTTGACTTTTTCATTTTTATTATTTCTTTTTGGCTTGGATGCTTGTCTTTAAAGGCATATATTCATTTCATTCGGGATCACAGAGTACATTATATATGAGGGGTATAGAATCAAAGGCAGCTATATCCAGAACAAGTCGTTTTTAAACTGTGAATGCCATCTTAATCTTCATACTATTTTGAATAAATTTACAAAATTGTTTAGCATCTAAATCAGCTAAATCCCAGCCAAAATTCACGTTAAAGAAACGGTTCTTAACCAAAGGTAGCTAAATCCACACAGTTTGGAAACAAACACAGCTAAAATTGCGGCTGGCCAATCACAGATCTACATTGTCGAAATAACAAGATGGCGGATCTCATACAAAACTTTTTTGTGTGATTTTTATCGAAATTAAATAGGATTTCGCATCTATTTCTTATTAAAAACGAGTGGAACGACAAATAAAAAGTGCAATGGAAGTGCCTGTAGCAGAAGCATTGCCAGGGAAAGGAAAAAAGCGTAAAAGACAGCCGGAGAAATGGAAGGCGAACAAAGCGAAAACAGGCCATTCTTTCATGCCGCCTGATCGAGTTTCCGGCAATATTGAATAAAGTATCCGAAAAATGGAGGTCATCACTTCTCCAGAAGAGTACGTCGATGTAATCAGTCAACACTCTACAGTTCCGAAACTACGATATATACCTGTGCTTGACTGGAAACCTTCTATTCACAGTATCGTAAAAACACCGGCTCAAATCCACTTCAAAATTTCTCAGTGTAAAAGATTTATTATTCGAAAATCCAACCAAAAGTGTGTTGGTACGTGGTGAATTGTATAATTATATAATTCTGACATGGGACACCCCAAAAGTTTGTATAAAACAGGCAAAAAAGCTGAAGGTATATGTAACAATAATTCCTTCTGGCATAGAAGTGAATCCACTAAAGTTGCGAGATGTCAGAAACCTTCTTCAAAAACACTATGGTGACTCTTGGAAAGATCTTGCACATTTAAGATATTTCCACGCCGTGTTGAATACTCTAGACGAAGATGAGCTTCGGCTATTAGAAGAAAGAGGAGTTGAAGAAGAAAACGATACTGTACGAGGTTTTTGTGAGGTTCAAGAAGAAGATAATTTGAGTGTATAAAAATTTAAATAATTAAGATTTAATTATAAAAATAATACTTTTTCATAAATATCATTTTATTTAAATGTTCAAAACACTTCAAAATGCATGTATTTTGGTTATGTTATACATTTGAATTTACATACTTTATACACATATCTTTTTAACGTTGACTATAGCTACGATATGACAAAATTTTTAGAAAAAGTTAAAATATACATCACTAATCTTGTGACGTCATCACCAAAAACTTGCAAACAAAAATAGCTATATCCAATACAATCAGAATCAAAAACAGCTAAATCCTTTGGTTGGTATCGAATGCAGCGAAGTGATTTTAAAATTACCGCTAAAAAGTAATTTTATCATTGGATTGACTGATGTGTGTGTGTTCAGTGGTACCACCATTCCAAATACTTTTTTTCGTTTTTTTTTCATCGTGTTGCCACAGTAAAAATAAAATAATTTTTTTTTCTGTTTTACGAAAAAAATACCCAGGTGGATATAGCTGCCTTTGATTCTATACGCCTCATATACCTGGAATACGGGATCTACGTTTTTATAGATTTTCTCTTCACTATGCTGTGTTGATGCGTCACTTTGCGAAGTTCTTGCATAATTTCGATGACAGCTCTACCCAGTGGATAGTCGATGACTACAAATCACCTAAGTTCATAATGCGCCTAAGCAATCTAAATAACTTGAGATTTATATCAACATCGAAGCACTTGTTCCGTCGTTTTCTCTAATAGTTCACATGCGCAGACACTTAATACACAAAATCGCATCACTTTTACATTTCAAAATCCACTTCAAACCCTTATTTAAACACTAAAAGAAGGGCAACAATCCGTCGACGTTCAAGTTCTCGTTAAAACTTCATTTTTATTTTTTATTTCTGTCAATTCACTCCCCAGATATAGAAAGTGTGAGTCACAATTCATTTACCGCAATCTGTGTGAAAACCAAGCATGTCACGTTTTTCTACCTATTAGGATGTCACTGGTGCCATTTAGTGATTCAAAACTACTTGGTTATGCGGTTTGCATCCTTTTTACTCGCTTCACCACAAGTTGTGGTCCACAACTACCAAAAAGTCGATTACGAACGTATTACACGTTTTTCTCCCTTAAAAATATTATCTATCATAATAATATTCATTTACGACAGTCTATCAAAAGTTCACTGCTGAACATGGTTTTTTCCATAGATTGCCTCGTAGGCGGAATATTTGCCATAGATGTCTCTCTTAGCAAGTGGCTTGGTGACCGATATTATTTATTATTTTGAGTTGTTATCTGGAAGATACTGTCGCCCATCTCCTCTTTCATTTCTGTCTATCGCCTTTTCGATACTCACGAGATGCTATGGGGTCTTAGAGCCTCTAAGTTTAAGAAAAACAAATTCTACAAACCTCACTAGGTTGTCTTGACTGTCTAAGTTTTTTTGCGACACGTATATTTGCAGTGTAATAATAAACATAATCATCATTACTTGAATTCTAAAATATTTCATTTGATCGCTCGAATAAATATTAAGTCTAGTCCTACTTTTGTAGACGTAAACAGTGTTATGTTTAACGTATATTATTATGATTTAGATATCTTTGTTTGAAAGATGAATAACGATCCAAGAGCAAGTCTTATCCAACACTATTCCGATGATATCCCGGACGTCAGTCTGAGCGAGATTAGAATGGCTCTTCAGCACCTTAAAAACGGCAGAGCCCAAGGCGACGATGGAATTACAGAGGAGCTTCTGAAAGCGGGTGGAACAAAAGTACTTAAAGTCCTTCAGAAGCTCTTCAATTCCGTCTTCCATGGTGGAACTACTCCGGAAGCGTGGAGCAGAAGTGCGATGGTCTTGTTCTTCAGGAAAGGTGACAAAGCTCTCTTAAAGAACTACAGACCGATTTCCCTTCTGAGCCACGTCTACGTTCTGTTTTCGAGAGTCATTACGAATCATCTCGCACGCAGATACAACGACGTCCAGCCTCCCGAATAAGCTGGTTTCCGAAAAGGCTTCAGTACTATGTACCATATACATACTCTGCGGCAGATTGTACAGAAGACCGAAGAGTACAATCTGCCACTTTACCTGACGTATGTGGTCTATGAGAAAGACTTTGATTCCGTCGAAATTTGGGCGGTGCTACAGTCCCTTCAGCGGTGCCAAGTTGTCTGTCGGTATATCAAAGTGCTGAAGTATTTGTACAGTAGGGCTACGATGGCTGTCCGAGTACAGAACCAGAGTTAGAAACCTATCCAACTGCAGAGAGGTGTAAGACAGGGTGACGTTATATCCCCGAAACTCTTTACCGCTGCATTGGAAGACGTTTTCAAGTTACTGGACTGGAAAGGATACGGTATTAACATCAATGGCGAGTACATCATTCACCTTCGATTGGCTGACGATATAGTCCTTATGGCAGAATCGCTGGAGGACCTAAGCACTATATGCTCAATGACCTCAATGGTGTCTCCCAACGGACAGTTGGGACAAAACAAAGATCATGTTCAATGTCCATGACAACATGGACAAAACAAAGATCATGTTCAATGTCCATGTCACTCACACCTATGCCGGTAGTTGTTGGGAGCACTATGCTCGAAGTTGTTGACGAGAACGTTTACCTGGGACAAATCGTCCGACAAGGTAAGTCTAACTTCGACCGAGAGTTCGGATCTGAGACGTGGTCCTTCACTGCTGGCCGTATGAGGACGCTCAAGGTCATTCAGCGAGCTATGGAGAGAACTACGCTCCGGGTTTCTCTGCGTGATAAACTCAGAAATGAGGATATCCGCACTCGAAACAGAGTAACCGACATAGCCCAACGGATTATTAAGCTGAAGTGGTAATGGGCCGGCAATATAGCTCGAAGTACCGATAACCGATGGGGAAAAAGGGTTCTCGAGTGGCAGCCTCGTACCGCTAGGCGTAGTGTAGGGCGACCCCCCACTAGATGGTGTGACGACCTGGTAAGACATGCAGGAAGTCAATAGATGCAGGTGGCTCAGGACCGTGCTTTGTGGCATTACTTGGGGGAGGCCTATGTTCAGCAGTGGACTTGTGAAAGGCTGTAGTGAGTGAGTGAGTGAGTTTGAAAGGTGACATGATCGAGAATGTTCTTAGCTATGATTCAAGAAAATCTTTTCGGCTGTTTGAAGATCATCAGTTCTTTTTTTTTCGTGGATTTTAAAATTTTTAAATTTAAGTTATCTTTATATTTTTGAATTCCTCTACGGTTCGCCGGTGGCCCGTATTGCTCTATGCAAAATATTTACGTAGAAATCGATTATTCATAATACTTTAACAACCAAAGAGTATATAATCACCACGTTTTAATAGCTACCATAGCAACTAAAGTATTATTGCCTAATGTTAATTTAGTAATTTGTGATTTGTTTGATGTTTTTTATACAGAAAAAATGAATAATGCAGAAAATAGTAAAGAAGTACAGGCAGATTTTCCGGATAGTAATTACGAAGAAACACAAGAGAAAATAAGACCTCTAGAGAAGGTAAAACTTTATCCAAAAGCACCAATAGAACCTTCAGCTTATGGAAAAGGTAAAAATTATAGCCGCCCTTGGATACTTCAAGATGGTCGTAAAATCTCCATGCAAGGCAGTGAAATGCGCGACTGTTTTAAAATACCTAAGAAACCAAACTTCGGTGAAGGTAATTTTGAAAAGACACATTGTTGGGACGCAAAGGATGTGGTTAATGATAACCACATCCTTTGCGTTCCAACAATGCAGATATTAAAATGAGAGCATATAATAACAACACTGGCCTATAGACTAAAGATAGATATTTTTTGTGATAGAGCCATACTGTAACTATATTAGTCGTATAGTTGTAGCACGAATGGGTTGCCTCGACCGAGGAAAGACCACGCTCTCACAGAATACCAGCGTCGGCTTAACGCTGCTGTGTTTCTTATGGTGAATGTAGAGAACCGGAAACCCTTTTTACTGGAAAGAAGGCATTCCATCTTAGTCCTCACGGGTGATAACGCATTTGCATTTTGATTCGTAATCGAGGATAGATGTAGATGTATAGAGAGGCCACAACAACCACTTCCAGGTGGACTGTGTGCTCGTTTGTCACCCCTATTCTATAAAAAAAAGACTAGACCTATGCCTATGACGAGTATTCGTCACTAGTAAAAAGGTTTTCGGTTCTCGTTTCTCGTCACTCACCACACGAACTTCAACAGCCTCATGCTCTCTTATTACGCTGCTATTTTGTGCAAACGTAGTTGTTCCCTGTTTGTACTTACTTATTCGTGCTTAGGGATTGCTACTAAAGTGTAGATCGATTTCCGTAAAAATGTCAATCATCCGCACTTGAGCGGACGAGACGTATTATCGTTGATATGAAAATGTTTTTTGTTTCTTACATTATACTACTATTTCACGCTGTTATGCATAGATAAGTAAATATGTAGCAAGCTACTGATACTTCTTCGTTTGAGCTGACCTATTCACGCTGCAGCTTGGCTATATTACTTAGATGAAAATGTGAAAAATTAATTACCTGTTGTAGAGCAATTTGGTATTATTCACAGTAATATTATTTTCGCACGTTATAAAATTATATTGGATTAACGTTATTAGATGGTAGTGATTGTGATAGATTTTTTTCTAAAACCTAATAATATTTCATACAAGAAAATATTTGAATGTATAATTGAATGATGTTGCTTTAATGTAAAATATTTCCTCTGTTTTGTGCAAATTTAACACAGTCGAGAAAGTATATATATAATATGTAACGTAATTAACGCACACCCTCAGATACCCAATTAGTATATTATGTTATAATCATAATACATACACTGAATTTTTGTTAAACATTTTTATGCACTGATTATTTATCAAATTTTTATATTAAAGATTTTTATATCAAAGTTTTATATTAAAGAGGTATTCTAAATCATTCGGCAAGTGTGTCGCTCGTGCAAGGTTATATCGATTAATTTAAGAATAATCTGTCAAATCGGTAATAACTCAGCGGCCGTACTATAGTTATACTTATTCCGGAAGAATGTTGTGGTCACAGTACAAATATACGAACGCAAAGACTTTAACGTGCTTGAAATAAAGTTCATTGTTCTCTTCTTTTTATTGAATGACAGAATTAGTAGGTACCTAATAATACAAATGATAGGAATCGATTCAGTAAACGATTCTGAACAAACTACTTTCTCAAAGTGCATGTATGTTACATGTTGTATATATATATATATATATATATATATATATATACATGTAAGGGCGGATATTTCAATCCCTAGATACATAAACAGACAATTACTTGACTACCGGAGGAAGAACTATAACTGTCCAATTGAGAATCAGATAACCGCTCATTTGATGACAGAAGATGCTAACACTTTTTACATTTACGTGATATATAAATTAATTTCGCATTTATTGTGAAGTAAAACTGTAATTGTTATGAATATTTCAATAAAAAAGGAGGGGGACGATAGAGAAAGCATTTTCAGGTGGGAGGGACCTATGTAATATAATAATACATTTTGCCTCTGCAGAAGATTTAATTTTAATTTTCACTTTTAAATTCTTCATTATCGGACATTTTTCGTAATTCCACATGAAAAAGGCTCTATGTTTTCCCCATACAGATTTCGTATCTTTGTTCATCACTCTATCGATTTCATCTGAAGATTAAAACGTTCTTTTTAACTTCACGCTATGAAAATCTATGATTTTCAAAAAATCGGGAAGTTATTGATTTCAAAAATCGAGGTTTCATCAGATCTTGACGTTTTAAAGTCCTATTAAGCTATTCAGACTATTCCTACGAGGATGTTACTGTCTGTGTATAGCCTATTCGAGCTTAAAAATTCAAAAGTTATATAAAAAAAAAACGATTATTTAGAATTTTTTAAACACCTATAACTTTTGAACGTGTTGTTCGATTTTAACTAACTTGACGGTATTCTACGCAGTTTTTATTAAAAACTTTTTAAAGTAAGTATAAAAAGTGTATTTAAAGTCTGGAGCTGATAAGTCAAATATTTTGTTATCTATATTAAGTTATCTTGAAAATAATATTTTTTTGTTTATATGTTTTGAATATCTTTAAACGCCTAGACCGATTTACTTCGAAATCTAATCAGGTCGGGTTATTCTGTTAATCCACCCTAAGAAATCCACCCTAAGGTGGATACTCGGAAACACGTGTTCGTTTATTCACCCTAGACGGGGTGGTCAATCGGAATTCACTTTTTGATTATTGTTCTGCCTTTCCATCCTAAGTACAGTTCAACCGAAAATATATTCATACTTTAACATTTTATTCGATTCATTTTTAATAATCATAAACTTGAACAATAAACATAGTAATAAAATATAGTTCGATGGTTTTAAATGCAATATGTACATATTTCATTACTAGCGTGTATACAGACACCCCGAACCAAAAGTATGCTTCATTTTGGTAAGAGTTAGAACTAAGTTTAATGCAGCGCTAAAATAATAGTTACGTCGTCTAACCAAAGTATTAAAACATACAGCGCTAGTTTGCATTAGGGATTAGTTTTCTCGCAACCAAAACGTCATAAGCGCCAGGAATTTCATGGTGTTTTTTCAACGTAGTGTACAAAAAGTCGCTCGCTAGATTTAACATTTTGCCCGATTCTCGTTAGCATTGTAACAACGTGAAATTTTTTAAATCAAAAAGTTTTAAACTTTTTTATTGTCTAATTATCGATGCAATGTTAAACCATCACTTTTTTTGATATATTGGGGTGTTTACTGCAGTCTTTAAGAACACGACCAAGCATTTTGAAGTTGGTATTTATGCGAAGCGAACACGACTCGTCTGTGCGGGCGGTGGACACTCACTAAACAGTTGCGGTGCCTTGTACCGCAAAGCGTGGTGCAAAATCATGCAAGACGTTGTCTTCTCTAGTACGAAGTACCTCAATGTTTAAACTAAATTCAACTTACTTGTTTTAAATAATAATGAGTAATTTATAAATTCTGCTACATGTCCAGGAAAATGACCAACACTAATTTCATTATTGAGTAGACGTAATTGTATATCCTTGATAAATTCGTCTCTTTTAATGTATATTATTAATCATTTTCTAAATTTTTTTGTTACTACAGACGTGTTAGCAAAAAAACTGGGCGTTTTTTTTTTGGATGCAATCCAAAAACTTTACTAAAGGATGTTTATCTTTAACTTCATTTGAAATAGGTACTTTTATGCCAGGATTCTAATGAATTTGTTGTTCTGTGAGGCACGAATGAATTCCAAACAGCCACATCATTTTCGTACTTGAGCCATGTCTTGTCATTATATTTCACAAACGCCATCATATTATCGTCATTATTAAAAAAAAGATTTTACAATTAGCCATCATTTTTCTATAAACGACTGTACAAAGGCGAGGGAGAAAATCAGAAGAAAAATGATATACGAATTCCGATTATCCACCCTTGGGAGTACAATCTGCCGCTTTGCCTGGCGTATGTGGACTATGAGAAAGCCTTAGATTCCGTCGAAATTCGGGCGGTGCTACAGTCCCTTCAGCGATGCCAAGTTGACTGTCGGTATATCGAGGTGCTGAAGTGTTTGTACAGTAGGGCTACAATGGCTATCCGAGTACAGAACCAGAGCTCGAAACCTATCCAACTGCGGAGAGGAGTAAGACAGGGTGACGTTATATCCCCGAAACTCCTCACCGCTGCATTGGAAGACGTTTTCAAGCTACTAGACTGGAAAGGATACGGTATTAACATCAATGGCGAGTACATCACTCACCTTCGAATTGCCGATGATATAGTCCTTATTGCGGAATCGCTGGAGGACTTAAGCACTATGCTCAATGACCTCAATAGTGCCTCCCAACGGACAAAACAAAGATCATTTTTAATGTCCATGTCACACCTATGTCGGTAGTTGTTGGGAGCACTATGCTCAAAGTTGTTGACGAGTACGTTTACCTGGGACAAATAGTCCGACTAGGTAAGTCCAACTTCGACCGAGAGGCCAATCGACGGATTCAACTCGGCTGGGCAGCGTTCGGGAAATTACGACATATCTTCTCGTCAGGTATACCTAGCATAGCATAAACACTCACGCCTGTCACCCAGAGGGGTAGGCAGAGACCACGGACTTCCATTTGACACGATCCTGACATACCTCTTTCGCCTCCTTTACATCCATATATCTACACATACATGCTCGTCGGTTAAGGGTACTTTTAACGTGGCCCATTTTCAAAATATCGCCAATTTGGTGGATAAACTTTTTTCTAGGGCGTCCCTTCCCGACTCTGCCGTTCACATCTGCCATATAAATTTGTTTTTTTCTTTTTTTTTTTTTTTATAGAAGAGGGGGCAAACGAGCATGTGGCTCACCTGATGTTAAGTGACTACCGCCGCCCATGATCAACCGCAACACCAGGGGAATTGCAGGTGCGTTGCCGGCCCTTTAGAAAGGAGTAAGCTCTTTTCTTGAAGGTCCCCAGGTCGTATCGGTCCGGAAAAATCACCGGTGGTAAATTATTCCACACAGAGGTTGTACGCGGAAGAAAACTCCTTTTGAAACGTACAGTGGTGGACCGCCAAGCATCCAGATGGTGTGGATGGTATCGGGACGTTTGCCGTGTAGTGCGTTCACGAAATTTGGCGGCTGGGATTAATCCGAACAATTCCTCAGAGCACTCCCCGTGATAGATGCGATAAAATACGCAAAGAGATGCAACATCTCTTCGCAGCGCCAGTGAATCGAGCAGATCGGAAAGCACTCGGTCGTCGACGATTCGAGCCGCTCTGCGCTGGATGCGGTCAAGTGGAAGGAGCTGGTACTGGGGAGCCCCAGCCCAGAGATGGGAACAGTATCACTCTTTCCTCATTCATTCTTTCTACATGACCAAACCACCGAAACATTCTTTTCTTAATCCTGGTCACATCATCTTGCATACCACATTTATCTCTTATCATGCAATTTCTCACCCTGTCATTCAGATTCAACCCCATACTCTTTAAAGACCGCATTTCTATAGCATTTATTCTACTTTCGTGCTTCTTCTGCCACACCCAGCTTTCACTACCATACATTAAAGTAGGGACTAACACAGCATTATGAGTTACCATACGTGCCTTTTTTGATACATTCTGGTTCTTCACAATAGAGTATAGTGCCACATTCACTCTATTCCCTGCATCTCACCTCAATCTCTAAAAATTATATTGTACAACCAGTGCGTGTTGCCAGTGATGACTTACGGATCTGAGACGTGGTCCTTCACTGCTGGCCGTATGAGGACGCTCAAGGTCGCTCAGCGAGCTATGGAGAGGGCTATGCTCGGAGTTTCTCTGCGTGATAGACTCAGAAATGAGGATATCCGCAGTAAAACCAGAGTGGCTGACATAGCCCAACGGATTAGTAAGCTAAAGTGGCAATGGGCCGGCCATATAGCTCGAAGAACCGATAACCGATGGGGAAGAAAGATTCTCGAGTGGCAGCCTCGTACCGGTAGGCGTAGTGTAGGGCGACCACCCACTAGATGGAGTGACGACGTGGTAAGATATGCAGGAAGTCGATGGATGCAGGTGGCTCAGGACCGTGCTTTGTGGCATTACTTGGGGGAGGCCTATGTTCAGCAGTGGACTTGTGAAGGGCTGTAATGATGATGATGAATGATGATGACCCTTGGGAGATCAATGTCCAGCACATAGAATACTATAATACCTTCATAGAATATGTTTAAAAGAAATTTCTGTAGTATTTTCTGAATTTTTTTTAAGATTTTAGAAAAAAAATATCTCTTATTCATGGTGGAAGTCTTTTTCCCTGCAGGCGGCCGTAAGGTAAATTATTACCTTTTACCTATTTTCAGTGGATTAAGTCATGTAAAGGCCCCTAACCAATGGGAGTGTCAGGCACCCGGCACCTCTCCCTTTTTTGAACTTCCTCTATCACGTTAAAACATTTTTCTAAGCACTAGATCCATAAGTACCTAGTTGCTAACTTTTATTTAGGTAAATCCGCCTGTGAGTTTTCTACCACCAAAACATCAAATAAATATAAAAGATAATTACTATTTTAGTCAAAAATTTACAGATTTAAAAAATTGCTCTTTTTTCAGTGGCAATTAATAAGACGATGCATAGCCTATATACGTCTCACAGCTGTGTACATAGGTCCTATAATTTTTAAGAGGGTTTTAGAGCAAGGAAGAGCTCGCCGCGCTGCTACAATATCAATCGGTGGGCTATGTACTAAGTAAAAGAAAAATTTTGTTGGTTTTAAAGGTATACGCAAGCGAATGCTGACAAATTTTTTTTGGGAGCAAATGCTGGATGAAGTAATTGAGGAATTAGCTACCTCGCAACCTACAAGTGAATTTTGCACCGAATACGATACGCATTATGTGAAAGATCAGTTTGAACCACGCAGCTTAGAAGTGACTGCTGATAAAAATGTAAGTGTAATCTTTTACTTACCATACTCATTGAGAAAATCACATTAGCATAATTAATTCTACGACGACATTGATATATATATATATATATATATATATATATATATATATATATATATATTCCTATATCTATTATACGTCGTTGTTACGATTAAACTGGTATTATTTTAACAGTTTCCCTGTCCACGAAACAGACATAATAAATAAATAATCGAAATGTTTATATATGAATTTATGATTCATGGGTCAGGGAAAGGGATAAAGAAAAATTCTGATATTTTGTTGCAATTGCTAATATCCGATGTCAAAATGTAAAAATCTGATCAAGTCATGGTCGGAGAGTTAGCGTTGAATTTTGGGAAGGTCCTTTTAGCAAGATAAAATTGTGGAAAAATATAATTTCATCAATTGGCGAATCCAGTCCCGCGAGGCTGGGAGAGTATTTGCGGTTATTTCGTTACTGCGCAGAATATAACAATTGCGGAAAATTCAAAAATCTTTTTTGAAAACTTGATTTTTTTAAATATTTTAATGTGGTTTTTATATAATTCAAAAAAGTAATCCCTGACGTTTTAGTCGGTCCTCTCCAAAAATATTTTATTGAAATTTAAAAAAAAAATACTTTTTAAATCTCAAATTTTTATCACGTATTTATTGAGTAATTTTAATAATACCTGCAAATCGCCAGACAAATTTAGCGGTTTTTAACAATTCTCAGACGTGAATAAAGTTTATAAACACACACTATCTGTTAGATAATTTTGTGAATAGATATAGATTTAATTTTTTTCGACAGATGCACTTAAAATATCCATTGTATGGAACGGGTTCGAGTGCAGTCACTTTTTACAGCGAAACGATTAAAAAGACCGGTCCTGTAAGTAATAGTGTAACAAACTTGAATTAGTTGTAAAAATTTTGGTTGTTACTAAGCGCTTAATAATTTTGTTTTATAGGGTGAAATATTAGAAAAATTTAGAAGATGTCAATACTTTACTAAGCCCATGGAAGAACGTTTGGACGACGGCTGGGTTTTGTAACTCGCGTGAAACCTAAAAAGCGACCAAGTAATGTCGAACCTTTTCCATTGTTAGACGTTTTTCGTATTTATGTAAAATAAACAGTAAAAGGCTTTAAATCTTTTATTAAACAACATTTTACAAAAGCTATTACAGATTTTGTTAATACATACATGTACCGATTTTTCAATACTCTGATAGCTAGGTATATCATGTTAAATATATAAATTGTAATCTGACTGAATATACAAGTGAAACAAGAACACATGGAACACTATTTTGTTCAAATCACTGTAATTTTTAATTTACTTATTGTATTTTGTATCCTATGTTTAAATTTATATGACGTTTAAAAAAATAGACTTTAAGTCATCTTACGAGTAGGTAGTTTAGAAAGAGACAATCGGATATGATTTTATAAGTTTGTGTCTGAAACCGTCTCTTATTTTCTAAAGCGGGGTAGTCTTTACAGAGTTGTAAAACAATTACAGTTGATTAGAACTAAAAAAAAAACAAAAAAAATAAAATAAGAAGTTCACATGACACGTGCATGACAGTGATAATGGACTACGGAGCCTAATATCCGATAGTGGCCGATATACTCTTTCTAAATTGTATGACCACGTGCTTTTCAAAAGATTTAAAAAATAAAAATAACAATTCAAACAAATATAAAATCCGTAATACATGAGTTCAACAACGTGTCGTTTATTTTTTTTAAACACCGCGACGAGATTTAAAACAACAAGTCGTCGTCATCCCAATAATGAGGGTAGCAGACGAGATTGCCGTCTCCCGCCGAGTCTGTGGTGGAATAAAGACCTTCTGGGTTTGGGCACATAATACTGGTCAAACGATCTATGCTCATCGAAGAATTATTGGTTGAGATTCCTGTAATAGCGAAATATTTTTAAACTGTTTACACTTCATACACTAGAATTCATTACTTTGGTTCTATTGATGGATTCAGAAATAATTTTGCCAAGAGAAAATTGAGAAAATTCTTTATGGATAAGTGACTTTTATCTATTTATAAGTATTTATTATCTTATACAATGACTATTTAATGTCAACCAATGCTTTCAAGTGGACAGGTCATTTATTGTATCATATTACAAGCAGTGGCGAAGCTAGGGCTCCAATCTAGGGCAAGCCTAAGATAAAGTTTTGTTGTTTTTAGAAGTTTTATAAAAATACACCAATCTTGATCTGTCTCCACTCTTTAGCTTCATATTCAGTGCTGTCAAGGACGTGTTTAACAAAGCACACAGAAGGCATACTACCGCTAGATAGATTGTATGACATATGCAATTGCATACCTCGGTGGCTTTGAAAAGAGCCGTTTGGGTTTGCTTGAGCGAAAGAAAAAGATATTTACATACAATACAATACATGAACAAAAGAAAAGCATGAACAAAGTACAAACAAACTATGTAAATTTTTTACTCATATGATAATATAAGTATTGAGTTATTAAAACTTTAAATACGCCTAGAATAATTAAACTTTAATAGTAAAGAGTCCTGTACCTACCTATTAAAGTATGAAATGTTTATTGAATTAAAATTTCATTTTTGAAAATTTTAACTTTTCCTTGCCGATTAGCACTTTAACACACTTATATTCATCACAAGGAACACTATTATCCTCCCATTTTCACTAAAAATCTTTGAAAAAACATAAATTTTTAATAGACACGTGAAGTGAACTTACAAACGCATCGCGCGTACTACCTCCTACCTCCTAACGCACTCCTAACCAACTTCAGGACAAAGCACGGCTTTTGGTTCCATAGTAATTGCTATATAAACATTTCGTAGTTATATTTCATTATAGAACATTTTGCCACAGGTTAGAAAGGGTGCGATCGTCTTCTCGAAAGCCCAGTAAAAAGCCAAAGCGTTCATTAATTTTGACAGTCCAGTGTATTTCGAATTGAAAGCAAACTGCCAAGTGTTGACGTTACATATTATATGCTACGAGGTCATGCCCTGCCTAGAAAAGAGGAGCGCGCAGGAAATTTGAAATAATTTGAAACAGTTTACGAGTTATTTTATTAGTTGATATTATTGATTGAGCAGTTTTATAGAGCAAGCCTGGCTTCTGGGCTTTTGTGGAGGCTTCGCCACCGATTACAAGCATAAGAACAATGATCTTGTAACCTATTTGCCCGCAAAATGCACATGGGCGATGTTATAGAGAAACCATTACTGGTGCGAGGATACCGAATTATCAGCCATCACTTACAAACCAACCTGTCCAATATTGTCAGGGTCGCTAAACTCCCGTGAGCCTACATTAGCCCGCGAGCACAAACAGCTTGACTATTAACAACATATGAATAATAAAAATTGTACGTAATATAAATCAATAGTACATAAAACGATATGAGCTAGACAACATCATCACAAACATTCCTACGAAGTCACAGTAGTAAACATCTAGTACAGCGTTTGGCGCTGCGATCGTTCATCTGTATGCCAAGTCTTTTTTTATAGAAGAGGGGGCCAAACGAGCATACGGTTCCCCTGATGTTAAGTGACTACTGCCGTCCATGCACAACCACAACACCTGGGAAATTGCTGGTGCATTGCCGGCCCTTTAGAAAGGAGTAAGCTTTTCTTGAAGGTCCCCAAAGTCTGACTCTCCATATCCGAAGAAGCGCATGTCTAGTGTACTTTTAAGGGTTGATGCAGAGAATAACCCTTGATTTAGCATTTAAGGCTGCAATACACTACTCGCGAAGTTCCTCGCCTGAAGTATTCGCCAAAGTCAGCCGAGGTACGATGGGCCTCTATACACACTCACTCAACTTCGTGGGGAACTAGTCACTCACACGCTACGCGAGAAGGAGGACGTACAAGTGGCAGCTGCGTTTGATTTGTGCACTGTTGCGTATTTTAACTTTGTGCGTATATTTGGATGCAAATAAATTAAAGAAGGTCCCATATTACCATTTCCCCCTGGAGCATAGCTGCAGTTATACTAGTAGTATAGTTGTAGCACGGATGGGTCGGCTCGACCGGGGGAGGACCACGCTCTCACAGAAAACCAACGTAAAATAGTAGCGGTGCAGGGAAAACCGGAGACCCTTTTTCTGAAAAAGAGGCATTCCATCTTAATCCTCACGGGTGAAAACGCATCTGCATTTCGATTCGTAATCGAGGATAGATGTAGATGCCTATAGGCCGCAGGAACCACTTACAATCAGATGGACTGTGTGCTCGTTTGTCACCCTACGCTATAGAAAAAAAACTAATTGTAATGAAACTATACAAACAAACTATTTAAAAAAGTAAATAGTATTTGACCCACTAAGGCGAACCCAAAACGAATCAATAGTTAAAAATAAAAAGAGGATAGATGTAGATGTCTACGGGCCACAGCAACCTCTTACCATCAGGTGGACTGTGTGCTCGGTTGTCACCCTGTTCTATAAAAAAAATAGAGCAACTCCAAAAACAATAATTTTTGCTCTTGTGACCAATTCATTTTTAACTTAAGATCCAAATTCGATCGAATTAAAACGTTTTTAAATGAAACAGCACAAAGTTAACTTTATAGAAGTAAGCCGAGTAATGTACAGGGTCACTTCGTGCCCGAAACTTCGTTCCTTTGACTCGGGCGGAAAAAACCGACAACGATCGGAAGTCACCCAAGGCGAGGCGAGGTTGCCCGAACTGAAGCGAAGTATCCCTGTATATTTTTTTATAGGATAGAGTGACAAACGAGCACACAGTCCACCTGATGGTAAGTGGTTGCTGTGGCCCATAGACATCTACATCTATCCTCGATTGAGAATCAAAGCGCAGATGCGTTGTCACCCTTGAGGACTTAGATGGAATGCCTCGTTTCCAGTTAAAAAGGATCTCCGGATCTCTACACTCACCATACGAAACACAACAGCCTTTGCTGCTATTTAACGCTGGTATTCTGTCCTTCCGCGGTCCAGCTGATCCATTCGTGCTACAACTATACTACTAATATAACTGCAACATGGCTCTACCACGTACAAAATCGTCTTTGCTCAACTTCGTTCAACTTTTCGAGCAATGCCTCGCATATCATAAGCACCCCCTCCCCAATACCCCTAATTCTGATACAACTCTCTCTTTCACATTCATATACATTCCTACGCCTACATGCTCGTCGGTTAAGGGATCAAGGTCAAGGATACTCTTAATTTAGCCCGTCTTCAATACACTAATAATTTTGTCGATAAACTTTCGTTTCGGGCTCTAGGGCGTCGCTTACCGACTTTGCCACGCACTTCTCTGCAGCATTTTGTCTTGTCACTCTTTAGTCATTCATTCTTTCTATCTCTTTCTTCATATCCCCGAAGCTTTTAAAAAGAGTGTGGAAAGTGGCGACTATGCGAAAGAAATGCAGAAAGGTCTCATGACTCATGAGTTGCAATCTCTCGCAATAAAGTCTTATTAGAGATGGGAACAGCGTCAAGTGCAAGACGTCTGGTGTTGCCAATAAATGTAACGATTACGGTAAATCCTTTGTGTAGTGGAAGAAATAGCCTTTGTCCATCAATGGACTGTCGATAATGATGATGAAGTGGAGGATAATATACAGAATTTTGTTTGCGATGAGAAGTTTTAAATTATAAAATATACCTTTTATAAAAGAATTATATATTGTTCGAAATTAAGCCATTTATAACAGCAATGCTATCTTGAATCTTCGATAAGTGAGTTGTGTCTGAGCAGTATGATCCAATGGCCTTGCGAAGTTGTGTTTATACATATTATCTTATCGTATCTACCGCAGGGAGCGCTCCAAGTTGTTCGGATTAATCCCACCATCGCACGATCGCACACTGCACTTTTCCTTATATATTTACTAAACTCTTTGACTGCACTAATCTCGAATGTCGGCAACACACTAACGTGCGTTTGTCCGGGAATTTTCTGACACGCATGGCCATATTGTAGCATTAAATATTGCTATTGTTACGAGCCTAAGTCGACAGCACTAGCGCCATCTAGTGTCAGAGACGAGAGTGAGGAGAGCTTTCCAGAAAATGACATCACTAATCTTTCAACCTTGCCGTGTAGTGGCGGTTGAGAATATCCACTACCCCATATCTTCCCGTGGGTGTCGTAAGAGGCGACAGAGGGAGACAGGCAGGAGATGGGCAGCAGCATCTTCCTGATAACAACTGTGTTATAATAAAAAACTGCGGTTGCCAACCGCTCGCCAAGCGTGGCAACTATGGCAAATATCCCCCCATGAATAACGACGCAAAAAAACGGCCCCCAGTCCCCGGCGGCCCCGGTATTCCTGGCTACGGTGGCGACCATGGTAACGGCGGGGCAGGGGGGATGCTAAGAATCTCTGGTGGTGGTTCGGTTGCCACCTACGACGACTCGACCTGGCAACATATAACGCACGCACTCTGAGGACTGACGAGAAGGTACTGGAGCTGGAAGAAGAGGAAGACAAGTTGCGCTGGCATATTATTGCATTATCCGAGGTCCGAAGAGAGGGGGAGGATACGGCAATCCTCGAATCCGGCAACTTGTTCTACCACCGGGAGGGCGTCCATCTGTCCCAAGGAGGTGTCGGATTTATTGTCCACAAGTCTCTCGTCAACAACGTTGTAAGGATTGGGAGTGTGTCGACGAGGGTCGCGTACCTGATACTCAGAATCACCAAACGGTATTCGCTGAAGGTCATACAGTTTACGCGCCAACCTTGGCACATCCCGATGAGAGGTGGAGGAAATGTATGAGGATATTTCCAGAGCCATGCATTCCTCCAAAACCCACTACACGGTGTTGATGGGAGACTTCAACGCAAAACTAGGCACAAGAGAAAGCAGTGAGCTGAAGGTGGGGAAATTTGGAGTAGGGCAACGGAACTTAAGGGGCCAGCAGCTGGTCGACTTTATGGAGAAAGAGGGACTCTTTATGATGAACTCTTTCTTCCAGAAGCGGCCCCACAGGAAGTGGACCGGGGCGAGCCCCGACGGTTCGACAAAAAATGAGATTGACTTCATTATGACGACCAGACGCCAACTGTTCAGTGATGTCTCAGTGATCGCAAGGGCAGCGAATGGTTAGAGGCACACTGAACCTAAACGTTAAGTTGGAGAGGTCTCGTCTAATGAAGTCAACGCTCCGTCCCCCTCGTGCTCTAATCCAGAGTCCCGAGACTTTTCAGCTCGAGTTACAAAACCGCTTTCAGTGCCTAGAGGATTGCAATGCAGTGGACGATATGAATGACAAGCTCGTGGAAACTGTCCATGCGGTCGGAGCTAAGTTCTGCAAGGTCCGCCGCAGAAGAACACAAAAACTCTCCGATCACACCCTTAATCTCATGGCTGTTAGACGGGAGATGAGGCTGCAATCGTCAACAGATTTGACAGCATACAGGCAACTGAACAGACAGATCTCCAAATGCATGCGGCAAGACTTAAGCAACTTTAATACTGCTCGTATTAAAGAAGCGATCGAGCGGAACCAGGGCTCTAAAGTCTTTGCCAGAGATCTGTCTGCCAGAAAGAGCCAACTGTCAAGGCTGAAGACTGAGTGTGGCAACATCGTTTCCGGGACACCTGAGATTCTGAGTGAGATTGAGAGGTTCTATGGGCAGCTGTACACATCATCGTTGGAGCCACACGCAAGTGTGAGTAACGATCCAAGAGCAAGTCTTATCCGACACTATTCCGATGATATCCCGGACGTTAGTCTGAGCGACATTAGAATGGCTCTCCTGCACCTTAAAAACGGCAAGGCCCCGGGCGAGAATGGAATTACAGCGGAGCTTTTGAAAGCGGGTGGAACTCCGGTACTTGAAGTCCATCAGAAGCTCTTCAATTCCGTCCTCCATGGTGGCAATACTCCGGAGGCGTGGAGCAGAAGCGCGGTGGTCTTGTTCTTTAAGAAAGGCGACAACGCTCTCTTGAAGAACTACAGACCGATTTCCCTTCTGAGCCGCGTCTACGTGCTGTTTTCGAGAGTCATTACGAATCGTCTCGCACGCAGACTCGACGACTTCCAGCCTCCCGAACAAGCCGGTTTCCGAAAAGGCTTCAGTACCATAGACCATATACATACCCTTCGGCAAATTGTACAGAAGTCCGAAGAGTACAATCTGCCACTTTGCCTGGCGTATGTGGACTATGAGAAAGCCTTTGATTCCGTCGAAATTTGGGCGGTGCTACAGTCTCTTCAGCGGTGCCTAGTTGACTGTCGGTATATCGAAGTGCTGAAGTGTTTGTACAGTAGGGCTACGATGGCTATCCGAGTACAGAACCAGAGTACGAAACCTATCCAACTGCAGAGAGGTGTAAGACAGGGTGATGTTATATCCCCGAAACTCTTCACCGCTGCGTTGGAGGACGTTTTCAAGCTATTGGACTGGAAAGGATACGGTATTAACATCAATGGCGAGTACATCACTCACCTTCGATATGCCGACGATATAGTCCTTATGGCAGAATCGCTGGAGGACCTTATCACTATGCTCAATGACCTCAATGGTGTCTCCCAAAGGATAGGTCTTAAGATGAACATGGACAAAACAAAGATCATGTTTAATGTCCATGTCACACCTATGCCGGTAATTGTTGGGAGCACTATGCTCGAAGTTGTTGACGAGTACGTTTACCTGGGACAAATCGTCCGACTAGGTAAGTCCAACTTCGACCGAGAGGTCAATCGCCGGATTCAACTCGGCTGGGCAGCGTTCGGGAAATTACGACACATCTTCTCGTCAGGCCTCAATGTCTGAAAACTAAAGTGTATAACCAGTGCGTGTTGTCAGTGATGACTTACGGATCTGAGACGTGGTCCTTCACCGCTGGCCGTATGAGGACGCTCAAGGTCGCTCAGCGAGCTATGGAGAGGGCTATGCTCGGAGTTTCACTGCGTGATAGACTCAGAAATGAGGATATCCGCAGTAAAACCAGAGTGACCGACATAGCCCAACGGATTAGTAAGCTGAAGTGGCAATGGGCCGGCCATATAGCTCGAAGAACCGATAACCGATTGGGGAAGAAAGGTTCTCGAGTGGCAGCCTCGTACCGGTAGGCGTAGTGTAGGGCGACCCCCACTAGATGGAGTGACGACCTAGTAAGACATGCAGGAAGTCGATGGATGCAGGTGGCTCAGGACCGTGCTTTGTGGCATTACTTGGGGGAGGCCTATGTACAGCAGTGGACTTGTGAAGGCTGTAACGATGATGAATGATGATGAATCTTTCAACCGACAGCGCCATCTAGTCCCGAACCGAAGAACTAAACTTCTAGAAGTTGGAACTCGAACTCTCGGTACCTTGCGCGTGTTTACTTGAATATTCTGGATATTTCGGTGCTAATTTATATTTATAGGCGCTGCAAGATGCGATCGGTGAAGTATTAAATTTGGCGAGACAAGCGAAGCTTCGGAGCGGAATAAAGTGAATCAGTGTGATTAATTATTAGTGTTTTAAGTTTAAATTTGTGTAAAGAAAATTAAAGTGTTAATTTAGGTAATTTTATCGGCAATTTTTATTGTCACGAACCTCAAGCTCGTAACACTATTGAGTTTAACGGACCGTTAGACCTTCTAGAAAAGCGTCTACTCCTTACTAGGCCGGCAACGCTTCTACAATTCCTCTGGTGTTGCGGATGTTCATGAGCGATGGTGATCACTTGCCATCAAGTTCGTATACCTCCTCTTCATAAAAATATAATATTAAAAAAATAAGGTACCAGAAGATGAATCGGGATCGCCGTAAGCATTCCGTTTCAAGTTAAGTAAGTTTTTTATTCGATTCTTTTTCGCTTTTACCATTTTTAAGCGATGGAACTCTTCTCTTTCCTAAATAGGAAAAAAATGTAAGATTATTGAATAGAAAAACAAAATTATTTGAACACTTGTTTGTTGAACACACCTGTTCTCCCATTTCCATCATGATATAATTTTCAGTATTGCGTAACTTTGGCATGATAACTTTCTCAATGCCGTTGACTTTACTGGAATTAGATTTAGATAATAACAATAACTTTATTGTACAGGGCGAAAAAAGTTTTCATATAGCTCACACAGTCATTTTTGTAGAATACGATATAACTATCTCGTTTACGTTGGACGTGGTAGAGCCACGCTGCAGCTATATTATGGTTGTAGTACGAATGAGTCAGCTCGACTGTGGTAGGACCACGCTCTCACATAATAGTGTCCGGAGACCTTTTTTACTGGAAACGAGGTATTCCATCCTGTTCCTCAGAGGTGACAACGCATCTGCATTTTGAAATGTAGGTTTCTTTGAGCAACATCATATGTTACCATTGGGTGGGCTGTGTGCTCGTTTGTCACTGCATCTTATTCTATAAAAAATTACGTAAAATACCTTTGCCCGGTGACGGGCAGGAGCGTCCAAATTGCGAGACGTCTTTTTATTTTTTATAGGATAAGGGTGACAAACGAGCACACAGTCCACCTGATGGTAAGTGGATGCTGTGGCCCAGAGACATCTACATTTATCCTCGATTAAGAATCAAAACGCAGATGCGTTGTCACCCCTGAGGACTAAGGTAGAATGCCTCGTTTCCAGTGAAAAAGGGTCTTCGGATCTCAACACTCACCATACACAAATCACCACCCATACGAAACACAGCAGCATTAGGCTGCTGTTTTACGCTGGTACTCTGTGAGAGCGTGGTCCTGCCCCGGTCGAGCCGACCCATTGGTGCTACAACCATAATATAGCTGCATCGTGGCTCTACCACGTATTTATAATTACGTGACGCTTAAGGTATATCTTTCCTGCGACGGGAGAGAGCATGCCCGGCAGTAGACCCTTACGAACCGATAAAATAGAAGAATAATTTAACAGTGACTTAAATTGTTTAACCCATCAAAATCAGTATTTGGTACTTGTAGATATAAAGTTGAGTCGTACTTGGCTTCATACTTAATAAAATATTTGTAAATTACAGAATTTACAGCAATACCTTTGATTAGAGATGGCATTTAGATTTTAGAAGATTCAGACCAACTCATATAATTGCCTGCCAAGCGTACCAACTATAGAAAATATCTCTATCAGGGAAATGGCAGAAGCCTATTACAGATAATTTATAATATAGACTTACGTTCAGCAGTGATTTTTGACAGGTTGTAATGAATGAATTTAATACTTGGTATGTGCGGGGATTATACACGCGTCTCCCATCGCTGCAACCACGAAGTAACATTCGTTATGTTGGCGAGGCGAGATAAACATCTCGTTAAATCTTTCATCGTTTCGAATGTATCCAATCCATCCATCGTAAACCAATTTCTTTTAAGTGAGTGGTTAAGGTTCGAAGTCGAAAGTCTTATCAGGGGTCACACCACCGCGTTCATTCCCGAACCCAACGAGGTGTGGTAAGGAGGAAAGGGGATCAGTTATTGATTGATCACTGTTACGGCGTGAGATGAAGAATGCGGCCGTACGTTTCAGGTAGGTTGATCAATAAGTTTTTGGAAACACAATGAAACTCTAGGATAAGTAAGTATATATAAATTGAATTTATTATTGAACGTAAACGCTTTTAGCTAACACACCTATTCAAGGCGTTTTGCAAGTTTGTTATTTCCATAATGATTTCTTATATTTACGCGAACACTATACATAGATTACAACTACTTTTACGAATTTTATCGCGTTTTATTTATATTAATTTTAATACCCGACGTTTCGGGTGCTTTCCAGCAGCCATGGTCACGGGGGACGGGGGTTATTTCCTTTAGAAAGCACACATCACCTCATCGTCGCCATCGTATTTTATACCACGCAAGTGTGCAACTGGATTGGTTTTCAAGTGAGTAAAAAGGTGAAAATCATTTGGAGCTAGGGCCGGAGAATATGGTGAGTGCTGCATCAACTAAAACCCAGCAGTTCGGATGGCAGCGCCTGCAACATCATATCGATGGGCAATGGCATTATCATGGTGAAAAAGCACTCCGGCACGCAATTTTCTTCGACGTTTATTCTTTAGTTTTTCGCGTAGTTTTTTTGATTAATTATGAGTAATATTCCCCGGTTCTTATCACTCCTTTATTTAAATAGTCGATCATTATTATAGGTACCTTCCGCATCCCAGAAGACAGTGGCAATTATTTTTCCAGCGAACCCAGACACCTTAAATCTCTTGGCTGGCGAGGAAGACGGTCTTTTCCACACCTTGTTTTGGTTTTTCGTCTACGGGTCAAAATGTTGTACCCGCGTTTCATCTACGGTTACGAAATGAGCGCAAAAATAATTTGGATCTTCTTTAGTTATTGCTAAATTTAGCTTTGAAATGTCAACTCTTCATTTCTAAAAAAAAATCTACAACTTAGAATCTCACCAAATAAATTATCTATTTTAGTTTTATTCAAGATCCTGTCAATACGTTCTGTCCGTTTTTCGCATCAGTAAGCCACTGTAGAATAAGACAGAGCATTGTCTGACAAAGCAGACTGCAAAAACACTTTTTATAAACAAATTTTCCAGGCCTAAATATTTAATAACCGCACGAATTTCCCGCCAAATTTGTAGTTTGAAAAAAAATTTTCCAGGCCTAAATATTTAATAACCGCACGAATTTCCCGCCAAATTTGTAGTTTGAAAAAAAAATTGGGTATAGTTATTTAGTTTTTTCTGGCCTTGGCTACTAACGAATTTAAGATTCGAAAAAAGTACAACGCATTTCTATAACTCATTGATAAGTGTCCTATTCCGAAAACTCATTGATCAACCTAGTATAAAGTAATAATATACTAGTGTCCCGCAACTTAATTATTTATTCTTTTTGGATCCTTCGTTTAACTTTATTTGATACCTAATATTTTTTGAAGTGAAAACTTCTTTAGCGGCGTTGTACACTTTTTTTTTGTAATGGGTAAAAAATGTTAAACTCGCATCAGGACACGTGACCTGATCGAAAATGTTATAGTACTTTTATACTGATAATTTAAGCAATTCGTGCAAAATTATTCCTTAATCATTCCAAAATATCAAAAATACACAACGTTAATATTCAAGTTTTCACTTCTGCCGGCACTCCCGGAGTGCAACCCGTCGTTTTTTTAATTCATATCCTGTCCTACACTTTTGAAATCAATTTAAAGTAAGCCCCTGAATCTGTCTGGGTTAGTACATTGATGCGTAATAGGTATTATAAGCCTAATAGGTAGTGGATGCATAGTAGTCATAACAGCTAGACTTCTTGTACCTACCTATAATTATTTATTAATAATGAAGTACAGATTAAAACCTGGATATCTAAATGTGTTTACAAGACTAATTTCTAAATACACTATTTCCGAAATTCCTATCAATTTGGAAAGATCAACGGAGATATCGGAAATAATCCATTAATTCAAATATCTTTATTCGTTTGAAAATCAAAATCTATCATTTTACTAACCGTAAAGTGGACTTAATTGCCTCGTCTAGTAATAGACAAGTGTTTCTCAAGGAGGCAAATTTAACAAGAATACGCACAACCTCTCTAAAGGCTTTCTTAGCTTCACTTGTCCGATGTCCACCGCCCCCTAACCCAGCGTATTGCAATGCGTCGCTTGCTGTCGAATCTTCTACTGCTTGTAAAGACACTGTAGCAACACCAGAAATATTCTCTGGAACTCTTAGAACGCGGACTTGTGCCTAAAGTTTACATTATTACATAAAGTTAAAGTCGAAGTTACAGCCTGCATACGTCCCACAGCGGGGCACAGGCCTCCTCTCATTTCTGAGAAGATTTTTAGGGCAAGGAAATGTCCGCCGCGCTGCCCCAATGCGTGTTGGTGGACTTAACATATCTTCGAAATAACTTTTTTTTTTCTTTAATAGCTCAGACACGTTTCTTAAAGATATCCCTTCACCGCCGAGCACGTGGTAAATTAGCACTTAAAATTACAATTAACAATTTTAATGGCGCCGACGGAAATCGAACCCGGGTTGCTCGCGTACTGTAAAATTTACAGAGAACGCTTATCCCCTGAGCTACTCCGGCTCATAATAATACATAATTAAATAATATAAGGTATTTTAATTTAAGAAAAAACTGTAAACAAGGAATTTTTCTGGTAGAAAGTGTGGTAATAGAAACTTTTTTTATGTACTATAGATTATTATTCCATCGTTCATCATTCCATCTTAGTCTTCAGAGGTGACAACGTGATATTTTCATTCTTATCTGAGAATAACTTATATTCTTTGGGCTTCTGTATCCATTTACCATTATGTGGACTGTGTCCACTTCTGTGGCCCTTACAACAAAATATGCTATCATCCTTACGAATATCAGCCTGATTTCGAATCGGATACTAACGGAGGTGCGAAACTTTTCCTGTTAACTGAGTCGTGAGGTACGTTGATAGTGGTATGAATTAACTTTATTAGAAGATTAATTAATTAACTTTGTATCTACAGATATGTAATATTATGATATTAAATATATATTTTTAAAGAATCCTGATGTATTATTATCACCCATAAGAAAGTTAGAAGTTAAACATTATTAGAAAATTATCATTCCTAGATGTCTGGTGTCGACAGCCTGAACCACTAGGAGAAAACGGTTGTTTTGTATGGCGGGTGTAGAGAACTTAAGACCCTTTTGGAAATGATGCATTTTATAATAATAATATAATAATTAATAATAATAATTATGTTTATTTCTCCTCACAAATACCGACCATACATAATAAAAACTTATATCTATTTAAATACAGGTATGTTCATATCATAGCCTAGAATCTGGGAAGAGCTGGTGTTTGAGATAGGCAATAAAATGCCTGTATTACAAATTACCAGGTCTCCACCCCATGAGATATAAATAAGACCATTATTTGTAATTGAGCGCTACATATTATATTGTAGATCGTAGGATCATAATGTATTATTTCCATATAAGTGACAATTTAATTTAGATGTAAAACAAAAATTGTACTAAGAAAAAAAAATACAAAGTAACAGTGGTTTCGTAACCTCATATATTGTGTGTGCGTGTGCGTGCGTGCGTGTGTGTGTGTGTGTGTGAGGTGTGTGTGTGTGTGTGTGTGTGTATTTGCACTTGTGTGTATTTGCACTTGTGTGTTTATGTGAACATTTTTTATTTATAGAGTAAGTCTTCTGTACGGTTATAATCCAATTTTTTTAACCACTCCGCTACAATAAATTTGCATTTAGATTTTGTAAGGGATATTGATAGTTCCTTATTCAATTTGTTATACAGGTTACTACTTTGGTAACAGAAAAATCGATGTGTAAGGCTAGTTCTGTAAAAAGTAATATTGCAGACTTTAGCCTTGCGGCGCTGATTCCTAAATATCTCTGGTTCATATTGTAACTGGGAATGTTTTTTAAGGACGGTATATAAAATGTAGAGCTGTCGTACAGTCAGGACTTTCCATTTTTGATAGAGATCAAACGTTGGATAATCGAATGGTAGGAACGAGCTCATTTTTAAAAGTGCTCTTTGGGCTCGTTCAATTTTCAGTATATATGTTTTACAGGCACCACCCCATGAAGTGATACAGTACATTAGTTGCGACTGGCAAAGAGCGAAGTAAACTGATTTTATTATTTTTCCTGACCCACATGTCTCAAGGCCTTAAGTATTACCATTAATTTGCGTATTCTTGCCGTTAGAAGGTCAATGTGATTAGTGAAAACTTAATTTATTGTCAATCATTATGCCCTATTTATCTTAGTACTCAGGGCAGATGTAATATGTCTATCGCTAAAAGTTGGTACTATATGTATTCTTTTGTTACCATTACTATTACATGAAGAACCAAGTGTACAAAATATGTACGTCACTGAATGAATAAAGAGTAAAAATCAATGCAAAAACTTACCTGCCCTACATTTTCGAGCACTAATGCATTAGACTCCCCATTGGTAAATTTAATAGCTGCCAATGATATATAAGCCTCTTTCAAAGTGTGGCCCAACACAGCTTGTGTGGCGGACAGTTCTATTGCCGCTTGTCTGCCTCTGATACGAAGTGCTTCGGTTTTTCGCTTTAATAGCTGGTACCCTCGATTAACTTTTTCCTGGCGCTGTTTTATTTCTCTAAGCATGAACAACGACGCTGTAACAGGGTAGCGATTTTCAATATTCATTGCGATTCGATTAATTTGCAGTGATGTCGTGACGCTTTTTTAATGACTTAAGAAATGACAGTTGTGATTTTTTGAAGACAGTAAATGGTAATTATTAAAGAGATTTTTTTAAACTACGTTTCAAAATTAGGGATTAGGGCCTGGTTCAAATGAGGTATCTAGAAATGGATCAACAATGTGATTGTGTACCTAACACTCACTTTTTATTTTTATAATAGGAACTAACAATAAGCACCAGAAACATAAACAAATATTAATTAAAAGCACTTGTGCAATGTAATTAAAGGTTGTTTATAAAAAAGAAATTCTAAAATGCAAATGAACGGCGAGCTTGCTTCTACAGGGCGCCATCATTTTTTTTAATATCTCTGATTTAATATATATATATATATATATATATATATATATATATATATATATATATTAAATATATATTAGAGATGGACCGAATATTCGTTTTATATTCGGTATTCGGCATATTCGGCTAAATCACCGAACATTCGTTTTCATAGTATCCAATGTATTGAAATGTACGAATTGAGTATTGCGATGTCTTTTACTGTTGAAAGTATATTTAATTTGGGTTAAATCTGCTTACTCTAGAGTGCCTCAAATGCATAAATCTGTACATCTATGTTTTTGAGGCACTGTAGATTTATTTCCGATTATAGCAAATAGAAACTTGATAAAATGTTTTTGGAATCAAACAAAGAAACATTACATTACATTTCGCTTTACTTTCTCGTCAGTTTCTCTAAAATAAGTCCAAATAGTAAATCTCCTGCCGCTAATTTTTATCATATAATTATCAATTTTCACTGAGAATAAAACAACGAAATACTTTTTTTATTACAAGAATAGTTAAAACATAAGCATGTGCCGGCAATTTCCTCAGTACTAGATGATGCAATAACTTTCAGGTGTAGCGGGGAGCGAGAGGCAGGGTCCGGCGCTAATCCCGCGCGCTTTACGGTAACAAGTTTCAAAACAAATTGGTTAGGTCCCGAGGTTATCCTGCCGAATAATGTTCGGCCGAATATTCGGTACGGTAAAAGTTTTACCGAACATTCGGCCGAATATTCGTATTCGGTGACATTAATATCCATATATAGGCCATATATATATATATATATATATATATATATATATATATATACAGGGTTAATTCGCAATAAACGGCCAAATTTGCAAAGAAGGTTCAGAATAAGTAATATAGGCAAATGGTGAAAAAATTATTTAAAAAACATCTGAAAACATTCTGGCCTTTTTATCTTTTTTATTCAAAAAGCGTGGTAATGCATTAATTTAACTGATTTTGCGCACGGACACATTCGTAAGGGTCGATCGGTAGGCAAAAACGTTGCTGTCCATAAATCACATTCAATTTGAGATAATTTCAAATAAAAGTAGAAGCCTTATTTACTCGTATTTTCAAAAACTGTAATAACGGTCTAACATTATTTATATATTTTGAAGTTTAAAATTTGGCTACTATTTAAAAAATAACCCTGTATAGTAAGTAGTCTGTACTCTGTACTATGCTAACACTGACGAGAAGTTCTCATTTGACTACGATTCTCATTCTCAATGAGAACCTGAAAATCGTGGTGAAATTTGTTTTACGTTTAACGTTTAGTTTCTTCGTATTATTGAATATACGTGTATAGATTAGAAACCAATGTCGTTTTCATATTAATATCATATTTCTTACAAAACGTTATCTAAATGAATAAACATAAGGAGTATGATTTCGACCCGCTAGTCTACCCACCGATACTGTATCGTTAGAGCTTATCAAAAGTCTACTGATGAACATATTAAGCTTCCCCAAAAGTCGTGCTATATGCCACGGGACCATCTAGGGCGTGGGACATTTTCACATGTCCCACTCCACGGGCGAGTCGATTACCGACATAGTGCTCGATAGTCAAAAAGCGGTATTATCTAAATGCAAATTAATGCAACTGCAAATATATGCTAATCACAGCAACTGCAAATGTATACAAAGCACTGCAACTGTATGCAAAAAGCAACACTGCTTATCACGATGTACACTGGTCAGCTTCAAGTAGGTACTATTGTTTGTCTTTCATAGCGAAATAATTACAATAAACAATATCACTATTACCGAGCCGGAATTACCCCGCACGTCACTTGTTCTTCTACCCTCTATCACCAACATATAACAATACAACATACACAGGAGTTATGGCGGGAACGTGACCGTCGACGGATTGTCGCTCCTGTTTTCTCGTGAATAATAGTTTGAAATGGATTTTGATTCATAAAACGATTGCGATTTCGTGAATTAACTGTCTGCACGTGTGAACTATTAGAGAAAACGACGAAACAAGTGCTTTGATGTTGATATAAACCTCAAGTTGTTTTGATTGCTTGGGCGCCTTAAGAATCAGAGTGGCTATCATCATTAACTGTCCGCTGGGTTGAACTGTCGTCAAAATCTCCCAAAAACTTCGCAATGTGACGCATCAGCATATTGTGAAGAAAAAATATATAAAAAAGAAGATAACGAAAGAAATGATAGGTTCAGAAGGGCTTGAACCCAGAGCCGTAAAGCCAGTTAAATTAAAAAAAAACAACATACACATAACACAAACAATGTAATATATTAGGTATAATCGCACGATCCGATCTTACACAAATAAAATTGATTTCGCTGTATAATTAGCATTCATTATCTATGTTGGGAGTGAGGGTAGAAAACTATTAAGTGTTAAAACTCCTCCCACTCGTTCAAGCAGTTTAAAGTGCTACTTAAGCAACTTTAATCCGTCATTCCACGAGTCTTATAGTCTCATAATCATTTTCGTCAGTGGCACAAGCTAAGGTAATGTTACGGACTTACGGAGAGCTGCCCTATGTCGCATGGTGACGGGCGGTATTGCTGTTGGTTTGCGTACTGAATTTGGATGATATATTATTTCTAATGCGTCCCATGAATATGTTACAATGTAAAGTCACATTACTAATAAGTTTAATCATCTATGAAAATAGTTTTGAAAGTAATTTCTAACATATACGTTTAAGTTTCTTTTTACGTGGTATATGTAGAGAAACTATGACGTAACAAAAAAACAGATTCGGGCGAACATTTGTAGTTGGACGATTGTGTAGTGTATTTGTGGCGGTAAAGTGAACATATTTGGGCGATAATTTTTGAAGTGCTTCTTTATTAGCATCTTTGCGATTTGAAAGTCTATGAAATTAAAAAGTCGTGGGAGAAAATGAGATAGGATCGAGCATTATAGCTCGATGCTCGCGAGTAAAAAGTCAGAAACGCCGCCAAAACGGCGTCGCTTACGCGTTTTGTTCAACAGAGTACGAAGGTGTCGTGTGCCTATGGAATAAACAAGCAGTGAAGAACGGCCAAACCGCAACTTCGTAATGGGTAAAATAGATATAAATCTTTTTGTAATTAGTGAGTACTATATAATATAACTTATATCGAAAAGAGTACCTATAAACATTCCAAGGGAAATTAATATACTCGTCGTAAAAATTAGTGGCTGTCCCGTACTTTTAAAGTATCTACTTTAACAATGTCGAAGACGAAGGTCTAAGAAGAAGAAGGTCGGATTAAAATATATCGTTTAAATAAAATGAGTCCAAGTAATACCAATTTGAATAAAAAAGAACCATCAAAACCGGTAGTAGGTAGTCTCGTGCGTTTCCCATCTGTATGGTTCACTTTTCATAATCTATAATTTTCATATAGAAATGGCAGCCACGTGGCAGCGGCAGAAAACAGTAAAAAAAACAAATACAATTAACCATATTGAAAAAGAAACATTCATTAAAAATTCATTTCATAAATTTAGGCCATCTAGTGTGTCATTTTACATACCACCTTGGATGTCAATCAGTTGTTCTATAAAGTGACTACCTAGAATGAAGAGGTGGCGCTATTATAATTTTACTCAAAAGAAAATATAATATCAATGTGTCTATTTATTTACAATTATAGTATTTATTTACTAAGAAATTAAATTTTCTTATATTTTATGTCGAATTTGTAGTTTAAATTATAATAGTAAATAAATCATTTGCCGTAAAGTATTTGTATATTTCATTTCATTTAAAGGTTTCACTTCGGTCACGTGTAAGCTGCATGTTTTTTTATAGGAGGGGAAAACTAGCATTCGGCTATTAAATGATGGTAAGTGATGACCATCATTTAATAGCCGATGGGGAAGAAAGGTTCTCGAGTGGCAGCCTCGTACCGGTAGGCGTAGTGTAGGGCGACCCCCCACTAGATGGAGTGACGACCTGGTAAGATATGCAGGAAGTCGATGGATGCAGGTGGCTCAGGACCGCGCTTTGTGGCATTACTTGGGGGAGGCCTATGTTCAGCAGTGGACTTGTGAAGAGCTGTAACGATGATGATGATGATGAAGTAATTACCGCTGCCCATGAACAACTGCAACACCAGGGGAATGGCAGATGTGTTGCCGGCCTTTTAGAAAGGAGTAGGCTCTTTTCTTGAAGTAAGTCGTATCGGTCCGGAAAAATCTCTGGTGGTAGTCGATTTCACAAGAAAGTTGTGCGAGGAAGAAAACTCCTTTTAAATCTCACAGTGGTGGGACCGCCAGTCATCCAGATGGTATAAATGGTATCGCGAGTTTTGTTGCGATGTGCGGTTGTGAAATTATGCGACTGGAATTAGCCCGAACAATTCCTCAGAACACTCCCCGTGGTGAAGGCGATAAAATACGCAAAGGAATGCAACAGCTCTTCGCAGTAACCTATGGCAGTAACAGTGAGTCAAGCCGATCGGAAAGAGCTCGGTCGCCGACGATTCGAACAGCCCGAAATGTAAGGAGCTGACACTGTGGAGCCGCAGCCCAGAGATGGGAACAGTATTCCATGTGCGGCCGAACCTGCGCCTTGTAAAAATGCAGGCGGTGTGCCGGCATGAAATACTGTCCCTTTTTAGATTGGCCTTTTTTTCCAAGTGACCACGAAACTGAACGTCACTCGAT